GTTTTTTGAAGATTATGAATGGGACTGTTTCCTGACCAAAGAAACCGAACATACCTCCGTGATCTGGGGACCGAGCCCGTACATATCTGGTAGGTCATTTGGCTCGCAACAAGCCACTCACCCACAGTGTAAAATCAAAAATAAATTTTGCTGATTAATCGTAATTTATTTTTTTCCATGATTTAATCAGTGGACAAATATGCTTGAGAAATCCCACTTGCCTAATTACAGTTAAGTGAATCGATAAATATTCACATCAATCCGGAACAATTATTAGAATACGGAATGCGAAACCAGTACATCAAATTTGTGAGAGTCTTTTGAAAAACACAGCAGTAGCATCTAGCGAAGTTTTTCTATAAGGAAATCAATAATAATGCCAACCAACTGTGTGTCACTCACTAATTTTATAAATAAACATAATATTTTTGAACGAGATCCGACACAACGCGTATTTATTACACACACATACATTTGTAGTTTATTTCTATCCCAGACATATCACGCTTTGTGCTGACTTCAGCAGATTATTTGCCTCGTCGTTCACAAAGACGTTATATATTGAAGTTGTGAAAAGAAAAAAAATCTTAGAAATTCGCACACTCGGTCTTTTCTTCAAACGCGTTGTGCGGGTGCACAACATGCAATTTTCTCCTTCCTCTTTGTTTTCCAGTTTTGTTTGTATGTGACATTTTCATGGTCAAAATGACCGTAAATCAGATTTCCTCTGTTTGATTGTAATTGGTTTGAACAATTCTACAATGCCCATTATTATTTTAAAGATGAAATACATGTGATTGTGTGTCATCGTTTTCTAATTCCAAAATGAGAAAATAGATATAAGTTATAGCAGACAATTCCAAATGTGATAAAAAATCGTGCGCGTATTCAAATCGTTTCATACGATTCATTTTAATTTACTGAGCATATTTAAACAAAAGAGAGATCGTAAAATGTTTAGGCTTTTGTTTCATACGATTCGATTTTAATAGAGAGCTTGTTAACAAACACAAGGAGATGAGTTTTTGTGTTGAAATTTTTTGTTCAGATTACTTTGGAATAAATGATTCATTTTGATTTAAATGGATTTCTGGTGTCTGTTGACTGTTTCCGCTGTCAATTCATTACATTCATTGATATGAATAGTTTGTTCGGTTATTAATTCACATGTGATAACAGTCTGACACATGGAGATGTATGCTTAAATCGTGGAGAGTGATAAATGAAAACAGCAAAACACGTTCTTCAATATTGAGAAGGCCAAATCAACTTGAGTTTTATCGTTTTCAAACGATCGTATTTTTATTCTGATTGATTGAGTGCATTTAATCATCCTGTTGTATTACACGTTTCTAAATCGAATGTCAAATTATCAGATTTATTCATTGAGATTGCTCATGAAATAATATATAATGTCACAAACTTTAGTTCTCCGCTTTTATTTGCCATTAGAAAGATAGTGAAAGTACATTCAATTACAGATTTTTGCGCGCCCTACACCAAACCAATCGTGTTGTGGATTGAGATAACAGCCATTTGACAACAAAATGAAAGGCACTTATATCAGTGTTCCTTATCTAAAATGATGTGACAAGCTCAATCTACGTACATTTTGTAAATGGAAACTTCGTTCGTAAAACTCAACAAATGCTGGAATGATCTTTGATGCAAATGAACTTTAACAGGCAAATGAACTGAATTTTATGAAGTATTTAGAAATATCTGTAGTCCAGAACTTAATCATTAATATAACTTTTTAGAAGACAATTTAATTGTAACAGTAAATATGTTAATTTCCAACTCATTGAGAGAAAGTTGAATAAGATCACATTAAGAAAGGAAACAAAATTCGATTCCAAAAATTGATTGAGATTGAGTGTGAGAATTTCTAAACAGAATATGTTTAAACTATGAATATCAGAGTTAAAATTGAGATGAAAATGAAAAATCATTTAAATACATATCTCGTTCATGTTTTGCTCACAAGATTCCAAATTTACTCTTATCTGTAGACATTTTTTTCTACTATTCTTACGAGTGGCGTCTCTCTTCCGATATTTCTCTCATGAATTTACAAATAAAAAAAAAACGTATGTACAGTGCAAAATTGAAGCATAAATGACCTTGCATGTTGAACTTCTGATTGATGAACGAAAAATGGTTGTTGATCGTATTAAAATGATTTATTTTCACAGCGTACAATTCAGTTTATACTATGAATGTGCCAAAACGCACGTCGATCTTAAGAAGATAAACCTGTGTATATTACACAATGTGTAAACGATATAGATCCCGCACAATTTAAACAACACCGACTGCGAGAAAAAAATATACAAACGAAAAAGACCAGATGAGATAATTTGCCGGTTTTATGACCAAGCAACAATACTTTATTCATAGCAAATTCAAATACATATTGCATTATCTTATCGCATGGCGTTTGAGTTAAATCAATAATAACGGTTCGCATTTGTTTCACTTAATCGTTCTATATGATTTTGTTTGGATTTCTAGAGACATTCATTTATTATATGTATGTTATGATTATACGAATGAAGCAAAGTATTATTCTCGTTGATTTGATGGATTTCACAAACACTTCAAACAACTTATCAAATGTAATATATTTTGATAAAATGTGCCGACCATATTTCGATTATTTAAAATCCAGTGCTTAAAAAGGTCGGCCGAGAAGTTGACAGCGGTAATTTTTAAACTTTATGATAAAAGGTATCATTTTTGATTGTCATGTCGCCTGTCCACTTATATTTATTTCGAACAAAATATTTAATGGTAGATCAAGTTCAAGATCATTGCCAAAACACACTGAGCGCTAGTGTGTCACATCGTGATGGAAGTGCGTCGTTGAACGAAAAAAACATGGAGCAAATACAAGTCAATCATTTAATGTCACTCAAAACAGCACCATACAATACAAACCAAAAGAAGAGTCAAAACCGAACCAAATTCATATGTACTTTCAGCGAATATGTAATGAGAGAAGTGAAACGTGTGAATACACATATATCGGCAATCGGTTGAATCAGCAAATTATTCAACGTGTGTACAGGTTAGTAGTATATTGCCATTACTTGTGCTCATTATTATTATTATTCCATTTTTTTCATACGAACAATAATATCAAATTTATACAGGAACAAAAAAAAACTCCATTTTAATGTGGTCATCGATTTCTTGGTATTGACTGCTTTTGAAATTCAATTGAATTTTATTTTATATTAAAAATAATCCTATATAATTTAGAAGTGTAATAGTAATATAAAAAAATATGGATCAACACGATTGAAATTTTTTGGAAAAAGTGGATATTTGAATAATGTGAGAATTTTGTTGTGGCCAAAAATTTTGGATACTCTATCAAAGCTCAAATCAACTGTACGTTAAGCAGAAAAATACCGTATATTTTTGTTAAGTTTACTTTGTTTCAGCATGTGTATATGATTATGGTGCCAAATAGTCGAATTTTTCTGTTTACTTATTCGTCCGCAACATATGCAAACACAAGACACATTTCAAAATTCTTTTCTTTGTAAAATGTATAAAATTAAGAAGTTGAATTGAAAATAACTTTCAATTTCAAACAAATCTACGCTGCTATACGAAAGATATATTACAGAAAATGTAAACAGTGACATCAAGAAAAGACTATTTGTTCAAATGCATTTCATCGCAATGATGGAAAAAATTACGAGGTTTTTTTTAAATAACTTCCAATGCAAACGGCCATGAAAGTTTGCAAACTCAATTGAATTGTATGCATACAATGTCAGTTTGAGTGAGCGGTATGAATTAAAGAAACATTTTTTTTTAAATTTCATTCATCGCTCCAAAAATTTAACGCATTATGTTTATTATATCAGCAAAATTAAATTTTGAAACATGAGTGAAAAAACGAATATCGATGTTAAAACGTCAGTTGGAATTAAATTGACTGCGGGAAAAAGTCTTTAAAAACGAAACATTCAATCAATAAATGTTTTTTGTGCATAGAATTGTGGTAAGACAACAAAAGACACATGGAAAGGTATTTGCTTTTTTCTACCAAAATTCAAGTCATTATTACTGGTGCGGTGCTGAAAGTTTGCATGTGATCACGATTCAGCGTGCGCCAAACACAACTTCGTATGTGTAGACGATACGTTTACTTATTAATATTTTATAATCGTCAAACAAATACACGCATAAATTGTCTACCGGCAAATTGAATTATTATATTCAAAAATAAACGAGTGTGGTAAACGAACACAATCTCAATTTATTTATCGAGATGGCAACAGAAAAAAATAGCTAAATCGAAAAGAGTGAATCTTTATCTTCCTCTCTCTTTAAATAAAATGATTCTGACACAGTATATGAAATGAGCGCGAATATTTGCGTACTCGTCGCCTGCGACTTTATTTATAATACACAAATTTTGGATCGTGACGTCATGAATTATGATATACAACACGGTCCATACACAGGCACTGAATTTACAAAAAAAAATTGTTGACGCACATATATTTTCAAATGATTGGTTTGCCCTGTTGCCTTCGGCACATAAAGTTTACGAAAAACATATTTATAAATACTTTTCTTATCTCTCTTTGAAAACTTAGTCGGTGGTCAATGACCATTGCATATGAAATAAACGGCCCAAACAAACTATTGACATCATTGATTTTAGCACATGATTGAGATAAAAAAATACAAATGCAAAAATGCACATATCCAAAAAAATTACACTTTTTTAGCCACTTATGATAGATAATAAAATAATTGATACTGATGACTGATGAAACCGTCTTTTAAGAAATCCAAAAAAAAAGAAACATGTGAATGACCGTAGATCATAAATACAACAATTAGTTTTGTTTTACAATTACACTATAATTTACGCGTAGATATTTCGGTACATGAACAACGTATGGTAACATTTAGTAAATGTGTGTAAAATGTGTCAACTCCTAGTAAAAATACAATCTAACACATAAATTTACCTTTCAAATCAATCGAAGTATAAGGTTTTTACGAAAAATTATATTAATTTGTATTGAATTGTTTTATCCTTTTCTCACTTATTGACCACGTTTCATACAGTCACTTTTTTCACTCTTTCTATTAACACTCCACTATATTATCGGGAACATTACCGTTTATCGTTAATAGTTTTGTTCTCCATTGTTTCGCACATTTTTATATGAATGAACTAGCTATTATATCGCGTCGTTGGCTCGTATCGCACCTGACTTCTCAATCCATGTGTAATGAATGAATTTGAATAAGTTGGTATCGTTGTCTGTTTCTGTGCGCGTTCGAATTATGTCTCATTTCTGTGCTCTTCTCCGAGTTCTATTTATCTTCTTTGAAACAAAAAATAATTTCTGTGGCATAAAGTGCAATTTGCAAACATACAGACAAGCAAAAACCAGTTAAGAAAAACTGTTGACCACAAGTTAAGAGCCAATAAATTCACTTGGGTATTTTCTGCGAAGTATTAATTTCTTTCGATTTATTTCAACACTCATTCGAATTTTTGTAAATTTTTCTTTGATAAATTAAGTTCTTAATTTATCTAGAATCCATTTAATGACAAAAAATATGGCAAATGTTCTTGTTTTTAAAATAAATGAAGAACTTGTTCCACGTTTTAACAATTACATGTGTTTAAAAATCGCAGAAAATTTTAAAAAAAATGTGTCTAAGTATGAGGATAAAAAGTGTTCGCAAGATGAAAAGAGACACAATGAAGCACAAAAGAACGTACGTTCAGTCTGAACAACGCGCAAAAACCAACTGAATCAAATTCAAATTTTTGAAAGCCGACAAGCAACACACTGCATGCCGTTTGTGTCGCGTGTATTCCGTTCGAAATACGCGAGGAGTGTGCGGTTTTCATCGTTCACTTGCGAATACGCGTTTTCTGACTCTCCTACAATATTTTTTCAAATGTATAACAGCTGCGAAGCATAGAAAGAAAGAGGTACAGAGAACAAGAACAGTGCTGTTATCACAGCACCAACTTTTTCGGATTCCCAATACCTGTGATATGAATATGTATGTGAAGCATATGACTATTGAACTAGATTTCCACTTTAATTTATTTCGAATATGATCAACATTTCTATATATTTAAAAGTAATTTTTTCTTCAAAAATTGTGGAAAATAATAAAATAAAAAATGCTTTTTACAATAATTAAAAAAAAAAAACGAATAAAGAAATGAACTTTCACGATCACTTGAGTGAAACTCTCACATTTTCTGGGGATTTTCTGGTATTTTGACTCGACCGAAATTATTCGTCGAAGTTAAAAAAAATCATTACGTTCTTCCAATTTAAAAGTAATAATTATTATCAACATCGCATTAAAAACAACTAAAAAAAAATTAAATTATTGGAAATGAATTCAAACCAAACTTATTAAAAGGAATCATCGTGAAAAGATCACTTCTCATAATACATAATTTTAATTGAAGTATTAAATATTGATTGGTTGGTTGATAATTCTATTGTTTGAATAAATTGGTAATTGAATAAAAGAGTTTTTCCATTTAAATGGATGAAAAAAGAATGGAATTATTTGGTCACAAATAAAATGTGTCTTAATATGAAATAATATGGGTTATTTATCAATTCAATATAAATATTGAATCGCATCGCTCGTATATACTGTTCAATGATGTTGCTTCAGTGTTGCCAATTACACAGTATGTTACGCAACTACCGGCTAACTAGATTTGAGTTTAAATAAAATAAGAGTGTTTGTAATGTCATCGTGAGCGTTTGTATTCGCACAATGACAGAAGTACAAAAAGCTGACAGTTTAAAAATGCCATTGCTATAGAAAAGGCACACATTTGCCCATACGAATCTTTAAACGAAAAAATACAAATCAAACATTAGTAATCAAAACAATTAACAAAAATTCACGCTTTGGACAACATCGAATAGAATTCAGTTTATCTGTGAGGAAGAAAGTTTTTTGTTAATTTGTGTGTCAGAATAAAACTTCAATACTAGGGAACATAACCAAAGAAAAAAGTAGAGAATTGTGCATAAATTAGTATTCGATCAATTGCAATATAATTACATTTTCTTTATTTTGAACAGAAAAAAATAAGCGATGAGTCCGTCCGCTACCAAAATAAGCAAGCGTAAAGCCGCTGATTTGATAGCACCATCTGCAAAAGCAAGGAAAAATGAAGCAATGCAACGTAAGTATGGAAAAAATAAGTTGTATTAAAAAAATTTTGTTATGATATTTTTCTCATTTTCTTTCAGGCACAATCAAACCAAATACACGTAATGAAATAGTAAAGCGACTAGATCAAATTGGAAATTTATTAGTTTGCGGCCAGAATGAAGTTGGCCAACTTGGATTGGGCGAAGATGTAACCGAAAAAACTCGTCCCGCACTCTTGGCCGATAGTTTGAAGTCAAAAGTTGTCGATATTTCTGCCGGTGGAATGCATAGTAAGTAAAAAATGTCAAATTCAATATAATTAATCAAATAAGTTGTAAAATTTAATAATATAAATTTGATTTTATAACTAGGTTTGTATTTAACGGTAAATGGTGAAGTCTGGTCATTTGGCTGTAAGTACAATTCGATTCGATTTATAAATTAAAATATTATCCACTATGGAAGAATTGCTATCCATTCTTTTATTTATTTTTCCATTGTGTTCAATTAAATATTTATTAATTTCCATTATTCTTTCCTGATTCACTCCTAGGTAATGACGAAGGAGCACTTGGTCGTGATACAACCGCAGAAGGTTCAGAATATGAAGTGCAAAAAGTCGATTTGCCAAAAGATTGTATTCGTATTACTGCCGGTGATTCACATTCAGCATTCTTGTTAAGCGATGGACGTGTATATGCAAGTGGCTCTTTTCGGGACTCACACGGTACTATGGAGTTTTCATGATATATTTAATTTAATTTAATTTATGATAGAATAAAACCAGAATTTTCTTTTTATAATAAATTTCAAGGCACTATGGGATTAAACATGGTTGGTAAGCAACAACTTCCAGTCGAAGTTGTGCCAGGTAAGTGTAAAGTGTTGGCAGCTTCGTAACTATTCTCGAAAATGATTCATCCTGAATGATGTGGCGAGATCTTTGCTTGGAAAGTAATTCAAGATTGATTCAAGTCCATCTATATCATACATGTTCCATATCATTTTTTGGAATCTTTGCGAAATTTTCAAGTGAAAAAATATCTCATTTATACGCATATGCATATTGAATCTTTGTTTCAATAGCGTTGTAACATTTAATTTCCAATAAATCGTTTTTAAAAGCAAAACACATTTGAATTAACACTTAGGCGAAGAATTTGTCAACATACAATCGGGAGCTGATCACTTGGTGATGCTATCGATACATGGAAAAGTTTTCACAGTAGGGTGTGGCGAACAAGGACAATTGGGTAATGAACATTTACATCATACAATCATTACAATTATCAACAAATGTTGATGCTAAAATTTCAACGACAAATTTCAGTACTATTAGGCCGCGTTTCATTTCGAAATCATTTTAGGCCGCGTTTCATTTCGATCATCATCTGGAAAAACACGACGGGGAAAGAGCCAACTATTAGAACCGGGTCTTGTCACCGCACCAAAGATTAACTTCATCGATGCCATTTGGGCAACAACATACTGTATATATCCTTTTCATGATATATTTAATTTATAATAAAATAATTTCTTTTTTTTTAAATAAATTTCAAGGCACATTCATCCGAACGCGTTCAAACCAAACGGTTTATGGTTTTGGTCTGAACAATTATAATCAAATTGGTATTGTCCAGAAAAATTCGGAAACCATTTTTGCACCAAAAAAGACGCCATTTGAAAATGTCAAGGAAATTACAGGTAAAATAAATTTGTTTTTTATTTTTATTGACTTGTGACAAATTTCGTCGCTGATTTCGCAATTAGGAGGACAGCATCATACGCTTGTTCTAACAAATGACAACAAATGCTATGCAATTGGCCGGACAACTTATGGACGGTGTGGTGTAGGCGACACAACCGAAGAAGTCATTGATAAATTAACACCAATCAATACTTTGGACAAATTGGATGTAGTACAGTTAGAGTGTGGTGAAAGTTGTTCATTTGCTATCAGTGCAGATGGAAAAGTGTACAGTTGGGGCTTTGGCTCAAGTCAACAGCTCGGCCTTGGTTCAGATGATGATCAACTAATTCCAACCAAACTGACTGGCGCTCAAGTTAAAGATAGGCAAGTCATCAATGTTTCATCCGGGGGCCAACATACTCTTTTTATTGCTGCTGACAAGGCACAGAAATGAATGTGAATGTAGTTCATTTCACACAGATTTTTATAAATTTCAAATCTGTACAAAATCGTGTTATTATTATTATTTTTTTTAAAGTATGCATATATTTCGCAATTTTTTAACATTGGGATTATTAATATTACTATAAATTAATGATTACCATAATAGCTGTGCAAGGGCTCAAAGTTTCGCAATATGTAAAATATCATTTCTATTTGCATGTAAAAATACAGCTAAATTTCGGAATGCGAAGTTTATATATATTGGAGTAGTTAATTAATTAGAAATGAGAAAATTAAAAAAAAAATCAATATTTTTGCAATAAACAGTGAACTAAAATGAAACAATTAAATTTTTAACGTAGTTTCGGAACTTATTTCAGCGTTTTGAATTTGGCAGCACTGTATAAATTATACACTGTATAATTTACGTTGTCTCATATCGTCTTCCGATAGGGACGAAAATTCAAATTTTCAAACAGTTTTTTTAGATGCGATGTTTGGTTTTCATTTTGACATTCGGTTGGAATCTTTCAATTGATCTTGATGTGAAAGCATAATACACTAATTATTTTTGCAGGCATTGATACATTGTAAACAAAGTTTTTTCATAAGATAAATAACTAGTATTAGATTTTTTTGTGAAAATTTATTGTGTGTTTTTGTATTTTAAAATCAAAGAAAGTTCTAACAAACTCGCGCAAAATGCAGCAACCACGAGAGAAAAGACGTTGTAGTGTAAGTAATCAATGGCTTTAAATGCAACAAAATGTTCCATAATCAACACATATTTTATGTCTTATGTAACATTTTAGATTTTGAAAAAACGTCGTTCACGCAGTTTAAGTCCAAAAAGTCCACAGAGAGAACACGCAGCTCGTAGAGCGTCGCGTCGTATTAGTTTCTCGGGCAAGCACAATGTTCGGTAAGTTTTATAGAAATCACTTTTCTATATGTTTTATATGCCATCAACCCACTATTTTTTTATTATCAAACATGTCAGCGAATTTTTCACAAACGAAAACGCAGCAATAGTATGGGGTGAAACTTACGATGTCTCAACCGAAAAACATATTCTAAGCAATGAACAAATAACATTGCAGTCAACACATTCAAGTTCGATATCTTCAACATTGCATACGACAAGAAATGAATCAGCTGCAATGGATATTTCAAATATAATACCAACAACACAGGCACATGAAGATAAGAAAGCAGATCAAAGCAATAGCAGGCCACCTATTCTGCAAACAAATCAAACGTATACGGAGGATCAAAAAGAGAATATAATGGTGACAAATGATACCGATATGCCATCAGTGCCGGCGCTGCCATCAGAACCATTATTCAAACTGCCACCGACTAGATCGAATGTTTTAACGCAATCAAAAAAGCCAAGTATGTTCAATTTTGTTCGTAAGCCCGACACGAGTAAAACAATGGCAACAACAGAGAAAACAAATTGTTCCTATACAATGGACATTTCAGGCATAGAACCTACGTTTTCAAATGAAACACAGCCTCGACAGAAGCAATCTAGTAATCAGTATAGAAATTGGCTTAAAGAGAATAATTTCATTGCCAAACCCAAAAGCGAAACAGATTACCGACGGCAAACGGTGAATCAGGTAATTGACATGCAATTTGATCAGACTCAAACAATGACAATTGTTTCGCCTGTTGCCGGGACAAACAACGAAGCGGAATTATTGATTTCACGAAAAGCAATTAATGAATCAATTGAAATGTCGATTGATGCTTTGTCCCGTTCACCAATTGCACTACAATCATCACGACGTGAAACCGTAAATCACATTCAAGACATGCAATTGGATACAAGCGAGTTAGTGGATTCTCCAATCATACAACAAGGGAATGTTTTGACAAATCTATCAAGCAAACGTGACTCCATTCATGTACCATCCGAAATGTCAATTGAAAAACAGAATCAATCGGATATGTCAATTGAACTAATACCATCTGAAATGAAATGTCAGTCAAAGAACAATCGGCAAACCACTCATCGAGTGCAGGACATTTCATTAGATACACCAACATTTGGAATGAATCCGCGTCAATTCACAGATCATAAATTAAAAGATATGTCATTGGATATGATTCAAATGAATGAAATGAATGGAAAGTCTCTGTTTGTTCAATCAGGAAATTTGAATTGTAAAATACCATTATCAAATCGAATTACAATAAATGAGCCGAAAGACATGTCATTTGATTCAACGACCAAAACTGACACACGCACAAACAACAATAGAACTATTCTTTGCGATATGTCAATGGAGCTACAATATACTCAACCATGTAAACAGCCATCACAGTCACGAAAATCAGTCATTTGTAAATCTCCGAGTAAAAATTGTACAAATATATTTGATCAAAGCGGATCATTTGAGTTAACAAAAGGAATTGAGCAAAATTCAATGTACCTATCGTATCATCCAATTCATTCAACTAAACTGTGTGATATAAATTCTAGTGAATTTACCGAGATTGATTTTGATAGTTCTGGTCAAATCGATAGAATTGACAATAATACGATTCGTTCTAGTTCCGATATCGAAGAAACATTTATTGAAGAGAAAAAGAAAGAATTTCAAATTCATATCCAGCCCAAGCAGGTTCAAATATTCAATCATACAAAGGAAACTCATGAAGCATGTGATTTGGACATCAGTGAAAATTCACCGATACCAACGGCCAAGAAGTATAATCTGTTCCATTTCTTCGATTCTTTTTCAATTCTGTTCCATTACTTATTGATTAATTTCCATTTTTTCCATTTTTTTCTTCTGATCTTCCCTAGGTATAATCTGAATAAGACTCCATTTTACTTTCGGAATGATCCGGTTTTGGTAAATATGCTTGGAAGTGATTCATCATCACTCGATATAACTAACAACAGTAAAGAAATTGAAGAAAAACTCGATATCAATCGACAACCCACATCAATTGATGAAACGAATACGCAACCAATTGAAATAAGTGATACTTCAATTGAATATATTTCGGAAAAACCAGCAGACACGTTAACTGTTGAAACCCGAAGAAAAACCAATTTTCATGAAACATCAATGGTACTTGAACCACTAATTATTGATTGTTTTACGATTATTTTAAATTTTATTCTTTTATTTTGTGATTCTCCCCTTAGGTACTTGAACCAATCGAAATAAAAGGTGTTAATAATTTTATGACACAATCTATTCTCCAAATTACACCGATGAAAATTGATGACTCGTTTGAAAATAAGCTGCCACAACGACCCGAAGAATATAGACGACATACCTACATTAGTAACGAACCAATTGCTATTGATGATTTTTCTTTGGGACATAAAAATCAATCAAATGCTCTGGAAGAATCGAAGCTTACATTTATCGAAGACGATGATGAAGATGATGACGATGATCAAATTTGTAACACAAAACTTGCTTTGGCCACATCATTGGAAAGTTATGAAGTTGAGGACTTTGTCGAGCGGAAGTGTGCATCATTTGCTACAAACAAAAGTTACAACCTGAGCAAATTGAGCCTGCAAAGTGAAATCAGTTTGGCAAATATACAAACCGGAAAAATATATTCAGTGAACGAAACAAAAGAAATCCATCCAACTGAATCGATACCAAAATTGTCTGATACATTTAAAAATGATGAATTGAATGCGTTCAAAAAATCAAATCGATTGCGGCACAGTAACGTATTTGAAGCAAATGCATTTACAGATGGAAAACAAAGTGAGTCAAGTGCTCTGGATGAGATTTCCACTAAAAATATTTCAAACAAACCAGTTGCCATAGATGAAAGACCATTGAAACAAATTTCAATGGCACCGGTGCACAATTCAAGTAAAATTCAACCCAGATATAGTATTGGATCAAATACATCGACAAACGAAACATCTTATTTAACAAAATCATCTGCAGATAAACCGCTAAGCGAAATAAAACTAAACTTTTCTGGTTATGAAAAATTGATTGGGCTGGCTACAATACAAGATATCGTTGATAATTTTTGTAATCGCATGGATCAAATAAATCAAAAAGCAAAACATCAAGAAGAACAACGACAAAAATATGTACATGCTGGAACAGCTATGGTTGATCAACTCAACAACATGAACGATGAAGAGCTAGTATCACAGAATATTGAAGCACCGTCGTGGTCATTTTTGTTCAACAACAAAATAAAATGGGAAGAGTAAGTAAGAATGAACCAATTGATTATGGGAATATTGCAAAATTGTCGAATCATTCATTTTCCATTTACGATTTCAGTGAACAACAAAAAGCAGAATTGAATCGTCAATGGGAAGAGCGCAAGGTTTGCTCACTTAAAAATTACTATTCCATTACAGACCCATTA